CTGCCTCCGCCTCCCAAGTAGCTGGGACCACACATGTCCGCCACATCGCACAGCTATTTTTTGGTTGCAGCCGTCATTGTTGTTTGGTGGGCCCAGGCTGGATTCAAACCCGCCACCTTGGGTGTATGTGGCTGGCGCCTTAGCCACTTGAGCCACAGGCGCCGAGCCGAGGGTCTTGCTCTTGCTCAGGCTGGTCTCAAACTTCTGATCTCAGGCAATTTACCCACTTGGTCTTCTAGAGTGCTAGGATTATAGGTGTGAACCACCACACCCGGACTATAAACCAATATAATCTATTTGTATTGATTTTATAGTTTTTGTAAAGCAAGTATTTGTTTAGTATGAGCTTTAATGCTTAAAAAGTATGATGCACTATGTGTAAACATAGACTTTCTGGTGAATGAAATGTTGTAAATAGTTGATGTTTCCCTTCTGATTATTCCTTTAATTCATTCAAAATTAGGTAGTAGGCTGTGGACCAGAGATATTTCCTATTTGCTCTGAATATTTGCCTGGCATAGAGTAGTCACTCAAGAGATAAAACTGTATAATTTATGTTCTGTGAGGATTCTCTGAAAATTGTCCAGCCATGTAATATGAAAAATGGAGACATTTGTGGCTGGATACTTTCAGAACAGTCCTCATATATGTTAATGTCTAAGGGACAGAAGAATTAGTAAAGGAAAAAAATGTGAAGAGAATAAAAAGGTATGTCGAAGACCAAGAGAAAAAATACTTGCATAAGATAAACCTGATATCAGGACAACAAACTTTTAAAATTCAATAATAAGAAAATGAACAATCCAATTTAAAAAAATGGGCAAAAGGGCCAGATGCAGTGGCTTGTGCCTGTAATCTTAGCACACTGGAGGCCGAGGAGGGTGGATTGCTTGAGCCCAAGAGCTTGAGAGCACCAGCCTGAGGAAGAGTGAGACCCTGTCTCTACTAAAAATAGAAAAACTAGCCAGGTGTTGTGGTGAGTGTCTATAGTCCCAGCTACTTGGGAGGCTGAGGCAGGAGGATCTCTTGAGCCCAAGAGACTGCGGTTTCTGTGAGCTGTGATGATGCCATGGCACTCTACCCAGGGCAAACAGAGAGACTCTGTATCAAAAAAAAAAAAAAAAAAAAAAAGCAAAAGTCTTGAATAGATGTCTCACCAAAGAAGATACACTATCACTCTGGGAGAAAGATGTTCACCATTATGTATCATTAGGGAACCGCAAATTGAAACAATAAGATATCACTGTTTGCTGACTAGAATGGCCAAAATCTAAAACACTGATGACACTAAATCCTGACAAGGATGTAGCAACAGAGACTGTCAACAGGGACTGTCATTCACTGCTGGTGACAATGCAAAGTAGTATGGCCACTTTGGAAGGACTGGCAGTTTCATTCTCTTACCACATGATCCAGCATTTACCCAAATGAAGTGAAAACTAACGTCCACAGAAAAACCTACAGATAATGTTTAGAGCAGCTTTCTTCATGATTGTCAAAACTTGGAAGCAACCAAGATATCCTTTACTAGATGCATGAATAAACTGTAGGTATCCATACAATGAAATATTATTTAGTAGTAAAAAGAAATGAGCTTCCCAGCTGGCTTGGTGCCTGTGGCTCAACCGGCTAAGGCGCCAGCCACGTACACCTAAGGTGGCAGGTTCGAATCCCCAGCCCGGACCCGCCAAACAGCAATGACGGCTGCAACCAAAAAGTAGCCGGGCGTTGTGGCGGGCGCCTGTGGTCCCAGCTACTTGGGAGGCGGAGGCAGGAGACTCGCTTGAGCCCAGGAGTTGGAGGTTGCTGTGAGCTGTAATGCCACGGCACTCTGCCCAGGGGGACAGCTTGAGGCTCTGTCTCAAAAAAAAGAAAAAAAGAAACGAGCTCCCCAGTCATGAAAAGACATGAGGAAACTGAAATGAATATTACACAGTGAAAGAAGTCAATGTGAGGAGGCCACACACATGATTCTTCCTACGAGACACGCTGAAAACGGCAACACTGTAGAGACAATAAAATGATCGGCGGGTGACAGGAGTGAGAAGGAGAGATGAACAGGAGGATCACAGAGGGTTTTAGGCAGTGAAACTATTCTGTCTTCCAATGGTGGATAAATGTCATTATACATTTGTCAACAGGCTGTACACTAATGAGAGGTGAATTCTAATGTCAACTACGGACCTGGAGTGGTAAGATGTGTGCATTATTTGTAACACATGCACTACCCAGTACAGGATGTTGGTAGTGGGGAGGCTGTGTTGGGTGTAGGGGTATGTGGGAACTCTCTGTTCTTTTTGTTCAATTTTTCTGAGAACCTAAAAGTGCTCTAAATATAAAATGGTCTCTGGAAGGTTTGATCATAGTGATGAGGAGGTGAATGCTCCAGAGGATTCAGAAGAACAGCTTGGAACTAAGAGTTGCATAGTATAGGGAAGAGAGTCAGATGACCAAAGTGGATTCTATTTTGTGTGGAGGCCTAGGATGACACACTTGAGCCCCTAGTAGGTATTAGAGGCCTGGCCCCTGCTGAGGTCTGCCTGAAGCTTCCAAAGAGTGCTCCAAAGAGCTTTATTACACTATGATTAGTACTATAAAAATTATGAGGCACTGTTTTTATTAGTATACCAGAGACAGCCTTGAGCGTATTTACCCTATAAATCATGTGTCTAAAACTTACTCCCATAACTTAAAAATCCTTATACAAGTTTGTATGGGTCAGTTTCAGATCATGTTAACAAAGATTTTGTGACATAGTTCTATTTCTTAATAAGTTCAACCAATTTACATTTCTCATAAGTCATGGACAGTGCTACCATTTTAAATATCTATTATTTAGTTACTACTTATTGGTATATAATTTTTTTTTTTTTTTTGAGACAAAGCCTTAAGCTGTCACCCTGGGTAGAGTGCTGTGGTGTCACAGCTCACAGCAACCTCCAACTCCTGGGCTCAAGTGATTTTCCTGCCTTTGCCTCCCAAGTAGTAGGGACTACAGGCGCCCGTCACAATGCCTGGCTATTTTTTGG